CCTGCTGAATGGGATTTCATGTTGGCTTAACAGTATTGGAAGTCGTCTTAGCTGTCACTGACTCAAAAGAACTTCTTTATTTTCTCCAAGATATTGAAACCCTCTGAAAAGAAAGCCAAGTACCAGTATGGTGGACTGAATTCTGGGCGTCCGGTCACTCCACCTCGCACAGCTAATCCACCGAAGAAGAGGTGAAGAAAGGAATAATGTAGAAACACCATCAGATCTGTCAAGGACAAAACTCCATAATACAGTATATAATAAGTGTGCACTGTAAAACCATCCAGCCATTTGACACCCTTTATGATGTCACACGTTTAACTTAAAGAGACGGGTAAAGGATCTTTATTAATTTTTTCTAGTAGAAAGATGTGCGACACTGTATTGTAACAAGTATAGCTCCAACTTCTAATATCCAGCATAGAGTAAAAAAAGTATTAGGAAAATATTGCAACTGCATATTCACATCTACCACGGTTTTTAAAGTTGACCAACATCCCAGCTAAAACTTGATGTAATAGTTAAACCAGATGAGAGCATGATGTTCCATTTGTGTAATGTGGTCTTACTGTTGCTTGATTGCTTTTACTTTGGTTATTTTGTAGCTAGAATGATGCGAATATGGTATCTAGTCTTACTTCACAGCTCTCTTGGAAACTGAAATAAGGAAGGGGCTTTTTAGAACAGTCATTGAGCTCTTATCTTCCCCCTTAGCCCCCTGTTGTTCATAATAATGCTGCCCAAATGTGTGCCCCACTATAATGCAAAATTTCTAGTTAGGGTAGTGATTAAAAGGCAAACTATTCCCAGACTGAACAGCTCAGCAGCCACCCGCAAATTGAGACACAAAAACCTGTCTTGACTTTTTAACTTAAACTGCCACACAATGAATTTGTGCACTACACTTTTTTAAATTATTGACGTTACACTGTGCTATGGCACTTCATTTAACTTAGGACAAAAATGGTATTGCCTATTAGTTGGTAACTTGATTATGTGGTACCTTGGCTTCAGTTTTATTAGCATGAAACACCTTTTGGCATGCTTAGCTTCCAGGTAACTCCCTACCTGCATCAAAGTTCATCTTACATAGTTTCTCAGAACATGAAGATCCTTATTTGCTAAGCCTTTGAAAGCTGACATTCTTTTCATAAGAGGGTGTGCTTAAATGGATGTTCATCAACAAACGATAGGCTAGCTGACGAATGGTGATGAGCTGACAATGCGACATGAATGTCCAACATGATTATAAGGCTTATGCCACTGAAAATTATATCCTTTGGATTTTCATGATCAAATTTCATATACTATTGTATAGACTTCTGCTTTGTAGTGTACTATAGTAGCAATAATTTCTGTACATGATCAGAGTTATGCAGTATTTCCTTTCAGTTCTCCTCTTTTCTTAAAAGAGTTAACATTGGCAAGTGGCAAGATACAGAGAAGATACACAGTTTATAGTAGGATAAATGAAAGGCACAGATTTGTGATGCTTTAGGATGCAATACTTATTGGATATAACTACAAAAGCTTTTATTGAATACTGTCAAATTTGTAAGATTCTCTGGGGGAAGGCTTCAGATTTATACCATTCTAAATGTGCATCAGTAGATGTAAAACTCTTGACTTCAGTATTGTCTTTGAAAATGTTAAATTGAGGATTCTGATAACTTACGTTTTATGAACTAGCACATTATATAATGCAAGAGATATATTGATTTCTGACACAGTGAGCAAGTTCTTTAAAATGGATTTAAGTCTCTTTTCTAATTCCATTTTGTTTTAAATGCATATTTTAAATGTAGGTTTTTTCATTTAGTAAAAGTTGTCTAATTCATTTGAATGAAGTCTGACTGGTTATTTTAACATACCTTACTGTTATTCAAGAAGTGTGGAGTTTGTTTTGGTTTTTTTTTTTTAAAAAAACACACCAAAAAAACCCTTATATATGTTACTGATTTCTGTTGGCTTGGCCTGTAGTTTTGAACAATGGTTTAATTTATCTTACCTTGAAGAAAAGACTAGAGTTTCAATACATAGCAAAACATGTAAATTTCTTTTGATATTGCTCAAGGGCACTTAATTGAAAGTCAGTGATGAGATCTCTTTAAGTGGGAGTGACTTAACTCTGTGGCCAGGTAATGGAGGACATCTCTTCTGTAAGCCTTGACAAGGTAACTTCCTGCACTTAAATCATTGCTTACTTGAGGTTTAGCTTTACAAGCTTTGAAAATGCTGGGGTTTACCAAGTGGTAGCTCCTGTTACAAGAAGCATCACAGTACCAAACATCTGGATTAACACTTTTCCATTCTGTCCTTAGTTTCTGGAACAATGTCTTCTGTGTCATGCAATATCCAGGTGCAAAGCTGTATGTTATGCGAGTACTTAACATGCTCGCTTGTATTACAGATGCTATGTCAAAAGGAAAATAAAGTCTTCAGGCCATGTTGTGTGTCCTAAAGAAACAGGAAATGCTTAGTTTATTTTATGGCACTAGAAAGCCAGATCTGGTGGTCATGGTGTTCTGTAAAATTGCCTTTTTTAATATAGCAGCAATCACTTGCAAAGGATTTGAGTGCTGTTTTGACTTCCGGGGAGTTGGGACATCTGCTAACATCCCTCATCATATATTGATGAAAAAACCCCATGACTTAATAACCTTATCCCTACAGATAATGATTGTTACTCCATGCTAGAAGCAAGTCAGGAGCATCAGATATTTAACAGAACTTACCACATCACTTCAGCTTACGTTTACAATGGTAATACAGATCTTTAGTATTTTTGCTGTTGTCCATTCTACAAGAGGCACAGAAGAGAATGTGAATGAACCTGAATCTAATTATACTCAGATAAAATTAACTTTCTTCCATGGCAATGGCTATTAGTCTAATTGATAATAAGTTTTTTTCCATGTATGGACAAGATGTTTACAAGCCTAAAATGCTGCTAAATAGCACAGTGTTAGTGAGCTGGGAAGTAACAGGGTGATTCTCAAATGAGGTGTTAAGAGGCATATAAAACATTACGCCATTTGAGGGATATTTTTGCATGTTCTCCCCCCACCTTTTATGTGACAGTAATACCAATTCCTGCTCTCAGAGTATAGCATGGCACATAATTTTGTCTTGTTCCTTTTTGGTTGACAGGCATGTTGTGATTCCCAAACACTAGAGAAATACCTGCTTTTAATACTGCTACAAGGAGTTTTTCTTTGGTGTTTTGTGTTGATTGATCTGAGGTTCTTGTTTTACATCACTTTCGTATGCTTTGTAATCAATGTTTTCTATGCGTGGAATATTCATAATTTTTTGCTGCTTTAAAGAAGGGGAAAAAAGTGGTTCATATAGCTGTGGTTATTGTGCTGCTCTAACTTGAACACTTTCTGTTTCGGTAGACTTGTTTGGACTGTTCTGATACATTTAAAAAAAATGCTGCAGAAGCAGATTCACTGAAAACACCATCATGGGTCGTATACTAGTGGATTGTTATTTGGTTTGCTTTGTCTGAACACACAGAAGTACTTGTGCCCACTGAAGTCTGAGTTGGTCTCTTTGCTTCTGACTTGGTGTGATTAACTGCAAGTGTACTGCTGTTAGGTGTCAGAAAGCTTAATGGTCCTGTTATGAAGGCAGTTTGCATTTGTACTGGATTCTCAGAGAGGAGCTAATAGGTACATATGACATAAAATCATAGAATGGTTTGGGTTGGAAGGGACCTTAAAGACCATCCAGTTCCAACCCCCCTGCCATGGGCAGGGACGCCTTCCACTAGACCAGGTCGCTCAAAGCCTCATCCAGCCATGGCTTGTAGTATCCCAGTGCAGTGCGTTGCTGTGTACTCACTTGCCTGGGAAACTCTAATGAAAATTCTTCAGATCTGTGGAAAGACGTTGCTTTAATGTTAATAGCCTACACCACTGTTTTACGGTGATTTGAAGATGGAGATCCTGTCTGCTGTGTTTCTGCCAACAGGTAATAAGGGTTGGTGAGCAGCAAGGTACATGAAGTGTTCCTGTCTGTGGCTTATCTGTAAGTCCAAGAGGATATTGCCATCTGTGCTGGTTTTGGCTGGGATATAGTTAATTTTCTTCACAGTAGCTAGTATGAGGCAATGTTTTGCATTTGTGCTGAGAAGAATGTGGATAACACACTGGTGGTTTTAGTTGTTGCTCAGCAATGTTTACATTAAGCCAAGGACTTGTACTTCACCTGTGTTCCCAGCATCTCTACAAGAAGATGGGAGGAGACCCAGCTGGGACAGCTGACCTAGACCAACCAAAGGGATATTTTGTGCCTTAGACATCATGCTCAGTATGTAGGTTGGCTGGGGGTTTTGTGCCGTCTTGCTGTTATGGACTGGCTGGGTGTAGGTCATTGGATGGTGAGTGACTGTATAATTTTTTTTGTTGTTTTCATATTATCAGTAGTAGTAGCAGTATTTTCCATTACGTATTAGTAGTATCATTTTATTTCATTTATTTTTAATTAATAAATTGTTCTTTCCTCAACCCATGGCTTTTCTTACTTTTTCTTCCAGTTCTTTTCCCTCATCCCACTGAGGGAGGGGGGAAGTGAGCGAGCAGCTGCGTGTTGCTTGGTTGTTGACAGGGGTTAAAGCATGATACCATCGTACTGTGGAAGCTACCAGATTAAAATACTGGAACTGTAGGTGGGTAGTTTGGGGTTGGCCAAACACATTTTTTGCTCTGTAGTAGTGGAAATATAAAAGACACTACTGCTGTCATATATGGTTGAACTGAAGGTGACCTGAGAGTAACTGTTTTGGATAGCTGGAATTTTCAGAATATATAGATGACAAACACCAGTATCCCATGCATGGCCTTTGGTGCAAAGCTCAGAGGTTAACAAAAAAGGGTACCTGCTTTGTTGAGGCTTGTGCAGATAATAGTTGTAAAAACCTAGCCTTTAACCTGGTGTTGAATTTCCTCCTGGCAAACTGTCAGTGTTGTATCCATGGCTGATACTTCTGGAACTTTCCTTGCTGTCAGGTTTGTTGGAGAAGACAGATTATATGAGCCTGACAGGTAACGTTACAGCTAAGCAGAGAGCAGAGGCAAAGTGATACTGTCAATATTGTGTTGCTTTTGAAGTTGTTGGAGTTGTAACTTGACTCATGCTTGGCATCTGTCTGCTTTGTAATGTATGTGAGTATAACCGGTGGGTATTTGGCTTCACATGAAATGGTGGCAAAAGCAAGGGTAAGAGTGTGTTCTGCTGGAGCAGAGATGACTACAGCACAGTCAGATGTCTGTGTCTCAGTCCACGTGGACTAATAATGCTCTTGAGAGAGCAGTGTGCTTTTTAATACAAAAAAGTTGCAGTGAAGTTCACTTCCTGATGCATATTTAAATTTCAGTTCTGCGTGTCTGAAGAGCCCTGGCCAGTCACAAGAATTGCACACTAAGCACGTAGTCATTCCTGTCAATAAAAAGGAACTCTGTGAATCAGTGACAGGCTTGGGATACTTAGGCATAGCCCTGAGTTGGTTTTTTTTTTCCTCTGATACCATCTCTGCTGCTGCTAATCAGCAGCATCAGTTTTCAAGCTCGCTCTCAGGCAGCTGTGCACTTTTTTTTCTCCTGGATCATACATTGATTTTGCTTGCTTTACTCCAGTGGCTGATCAAGGTTTTGACAACAGCATCTACCCCCCAGGTGGCTTCATGCAACTCAAGGGCTTATAACCAAGTGTTCTTCTCACTGCATGTAGCAGGTGATCAAAGCTGAAGGAACCTCAGACCATGTTGGACTGAACACTGGAAAACCATGTGACAGCAAGTCAACATTCGGACAGTAAATAAGTTACCAAGATAAGACACAAGCTTGGGTACCGCGTGTTGTTATGGGTCTGCCAGGTTCTTGGCTTCCATGGGTTTCTGGAACTGATAGTGCCTGAGCATCTTCCTTGCAGATCCCTCGGGTTGTTGGGAAACCAGCAAAGCTCTCCGGTTAATTGTTCTGTGTCTTAGAGTGCCTTGTTAAAATCAATAATAATGATCTCAACGTGTTAGTTGGTAATACGGACAAAACTTCATTCTGTTTCCAAGTGTTTTGCTTGAACTCATATTCATCTCTGTACCTGTACTGTCCCAGGAAATGAGAATTTAAAAAAATTCAGAATAACCATTTGCCACAAGCCCTTGCCAATACGTGGCTGTAGTAATCTTTCCTAAGGAAAACTCTTGTTGCTGCCTGAACCGGTCAGGATGGATGGAGCTTTAAACAGCATATATGCATGGGGCCTAGCGCAGCCCCCTGCCTGGGTTGTGCTGCCTTAGTTAACAGACTCTGCAGCCCAAGCTTCCTCTTCACCCGACTGCAGGCTTAGTCTTAGGAGCAGCCAGGGGCTAATAAAGATCAGCAAAAGCTGTTCTGTATCTTGAGGTGAAGATGTAAGCTTTATGTTAAAGATGAGGAAAGCTCGTAGGAAGAAGCACCACTTGAAAATCCTCTTTAAAGATGTTGGACATGCCCAGTTAATAAGTTTCAGTGTTTTAACTTGAGTTGCTTTTAAATGGAAGAAGTAAAGCAAATAGGCAGGGCTACAGTTTTTCTACTCTTTACAGATACTCAAGAACAGTAAATAATTATTTTGCTCTTTGCAAATACTAAGTTATTGGTTTTCCCCTTGGGAGAGTGTTCTACCTGCTCATGTTGCTTTAAAGGCTTGAATCCTCAGGGTGCAAGAGAGAATGCCATAGATGGATCCCATTAACTATTGAAAAAGCTTAACCAGAAAACAGTGGTATCTTGTGGACAAAGTGGGTGCAGCTCATGACGTGAAGCAGAGGAGTGCACAGCAGTGGTGAACGCAGAGCACAACC